TTTTCTCCAGTCGTAACAAAAACGGAGTAGCTTAAAATGCCGTTAGAGTGCGTACTGTCTGTGGAATGATGACCAGTAGAATGATAGCTGTGCCATCTTCTTCAGACGTTAACAGTAATGTACGGAAAAGCCTTGCCGTAGGCTTCTTGCCATAAAGATAACGGACAGCTCTGCTCTGGTAGCTATATTTAAGGTAATAAAACTTTAGAGCTGATAGCATTGAAGTCAGACATCCATGGAGGAAGTAGGGTTACAATGCTTCAAAGGCACAGTCTTGCATGCTTATTTTTCAAGCTGTGGTACCAAAACTGATTCATCTAAATGTATAAGCGGATGTCTGATATTCTACAGATGCAAGTAGAATGATATTCTACAAGCCAAAACGCGGCACGTATTCATTTTACGCATTAAGGCATTTCGTGTATTTGTCCACGGTATTCATGTCTCAGAAAATAGTGTGTATCCAGCCTATTACCAGATAAATAGTTCAGGCAGTTGCTTTCAAACTGGAGGCTGTTATTGAAGGGGGTTTTGTCAAGGGACGCGCCTTCACAACTACTATATACAGGCTTAGACGTAAAGGTTTTGCCATGAAAAATCACACCTACACCCTTTCAAACATCAACGTGCCCTGTTGTGCTAGGCCTGCTGTGTAGTAAGTAAGACGAACGGCATTCCACAAACCATAACTCTGCCTTGATACTATAACACTACCGCCAAGTTTGTCTTTTTATAAATCTTCGTCCGGAGAAATACACCTGATAGATAGCTTCTTTCACGTCGCCCTTCTTGCTCTAAGTATGTTTCTCAATGACTCATCTGTATACATGCCCATAGCCAGGATTTTGAAGAGGGGGGGGGTGGTTCTTCCCACTGTCCGAGGGACCAACGAGCGCCGTAGGAAGGCTAAATTTTGAAAATTTAACCTTCTGAAATGTTGAGCGGATTTCAAAGGAAAAATCAGACACAACTTTTATTCCATGACAAAGTGAGCAGTTTTTCTATGATTCCAGTGGACTGTGCCGCTGGTGATACAAATTCGTCCATTTTCTAAAGGAAAATCTTGGACCTTTAGATAAAAAGTGGGCCTTTGAGCCCCCTGGCTACGGGCATGGGATATGTCATAGACCTACACTGTCATAGATGTAGGCGCACCTGTCGAGATCTAGATACAACTAACAGTTCCCTGGGTACATCACAGGACACGCGGACTTTCGAACCATTTCAGATAGTATGTCAAACACACTATAACTCTTCTTTCAGTCTCAATCGGGGAAGTTCTAAACCATAGCACTGATCAAAATCAACACACTGTACATTATACATCACACGTTTCAAAAGCAATCTGCACACGCTTGAGGCCACTTTGTTTTACTCTTTGCAAGCTGGCAATATGCGGCCTGTATATCATAGTAGAAACCCTTCATTTCCACAAACGCAAGGGGCCATTCAAAACAGTTTATGGGGTGAAGTTCAATATATATGCGCACACAATTTGTGTGTCTGAGTGTGTTTGTTACATAAGGTGGCTGTTGGATAGCTTCCAGTACCCCAGGGCCTGAATTTGGAACACACAGGTGGGATTATAGAACAGATAAAATCACAAATTTCACGGAACTCATTCCAGTTCTGCTTCGTTGAATAATCTTGCAGGAAAAAAATGTCTGTAACCCGTATTAGATATTTTTGGCTGTGTTTCATCACTTAAAGGGACCACGGCACTAGACCTCAGAACTTTCCTCAAAGCCGTACGTCAAATGTGGTTACTCAAAGCTTTACGTTAAATACGTTTAATGATATGATATGATATGATATGAATCTTTATTGCATGTTCTTGCCCAGATGGACTAAATGCACAAGAGGATATGCAGTATGCAAAACATGAGTATTTCATACTGGGACGCTATATTCTAATGCTAATTGCTAGGAATTTATACATTATAACAATACTATATACTACCTATCATCTACTGTAAGTTGCCCTTTCTCCTCTCTTTTTGAAACATTTGGAAACATAATTACATAGTTTGTCTGCTATATATTCGTTCTTGCATGACATCAAGTGTTTAAACATGTCCTGCTTTGACATTTTCTTGCATATCTTGTCTAAATGTAAAATATCGAGTAGTTCTTGGCATTCATCTTTATATAATGTATAGTCAAGTAGAAAGTGTATCTCGTTTTCAACATATAAATTATTACAGAATTCGCGACAGAAAACAGTCTGTAACCTGTATTTGTGGCTGTGTTTCATCACTGAAAGGGACCACAAGATGAAGACAGACCTCGGAACTTTTCTCTGTTGTTACTGAACGCTGGGTAAAACCTCGGGACACCCATGCCGCGGTGTGACGAATCGCAGGGTTCGTCATTTAACGTACGACATGAATCACAGAAGGTTACCTGCGGGCACTCTGGGGTGTCATTTCTTGCAGAAACATTTATTACCGTTCAAAGTGGCGAGAAACCCAGATGTTAGCTTCTGAGGCAAGTAGTGAAGGGTTCTGAAGATGGCTAACACTTCGTCTTAAATAGACTATCACCATTTTCAAGATGCCGGGGAAGATACACAACTCCTAAGGCTAGAAAGTGTCAAAGGAACAATTTCAAAAATGCCAAACCTTTCTTTAACACTCTGTAAATATGGACAGTGACAGATTGCACCTCTGTACATTTAGCTATTTATTCAAGATTTGGTTACAGAAGTATGGAGGAAAATTAGACGTTATGGAACGGAAATTGCACGCTATGGTACAATGAAACACTATAAACATACTCATTCTGTCTGATATCGGGTTAGCTATACCGGTTGATTGATACACTATTAGTGAGCGTAAGCCTTATCCACAGCTGTAACAGCTAGTGTTCTCAATCACTTAAGACACTATGGGGTCTCCTTACCTGAGGCTGTGTGTTCCTCGCAACAGGTGGTCCGCAATTGAAGGTTCTGTCTCTTGAGGTCAAGGCATCGCCGTCCTTTCAGTGTACGTTGCAAAATGCATTTTATTTCGCAAATATCTTCAAGCGTGATGCATGCTTCTAGATATCTGCTCTAGAAGCACCAAACTCCAAAGCAGTGTGCACATACGGTGGGGAAACGGACTCCAACGATACGCATCGCCAAATTGCTAACGACGTTCGCTTGCCAGTATTTGTTTGGGGTGGGGGTGTGGTGACAGATAGGCCAAAATTCCAAAATATCTTGCGAACTAAGTTCCTACGCGTTACCGGTGCCGTCATTGGTAAACTATCAGTAATATACGCGCTCACCTATATTCCTATATTTTGCCAGAAAGTACAGCAAATATAACACAATATAGACTTTTGCTTCAAACATGAAACAGCAAAAACAACAACAACGTCCTTACCTGACAGGTGCGACCTTCGGCTGCATAACAGTGTGTCCCAGTGTTGATGTATTTGTGGTATGTGAAACCCACACTTCAGGGTACAACAGTTCATTACACACCGTACAAAACAGGGCTTACTTTAACCCTCTGGTAATTATGTCAAATTGAGTTCGTAACCCTTGGTCTATTTCCATACCTGGCTCTAGAAGGAAGCGCATTTGTATTGAGCTGTTGCTCATGTTCAATGCATTGAACCATGGACGTTTTTGTGTCCATTTTCAACCACAGGTTAGGCTGACAGAGACCTCTCCGATGTGAAATACAATGCTTTTAAACCGTGTGTATAGTGTACTAGTATGTGGGGAAGCCTGTAACAATACAGCGCGTTGCGGAGTCTGCGTGATAGAAGGATACCGTAAGAAAACCGGTTAGACCAGAACACATACGGCTACCATTGCGTATCACTAACTTAGTCTAAGGCTAGGATAGGGGTTATCAGTATCTCAGATCCTATAAGAAGGTCTACAGGGGGTTGAAATATTATTTGGATCATTGCGTATTAAGCAAATGAACGTCAAACTGTGTTGGCATCCGCAATCGGTATTTAGGGGCAAACCATAGAAATGTGGTGTTTGGAAATCACCCTCTCCTACCAAAATGTAGAAACCTACCATCAGGACTCTTCATCTGAGAAAATGGGGTCGCGTGAATTATATGTAGGTAGGCTTAGAAATACCGGGTGTTTGTCAAGGACTAAGAGCTAAAGTAAGAAAGCGTGCATTCAGGGCGCCAAGGACGACAGTGAGATCCTGTCACGAACGCTTGCCTCCGGATCCAGAGTCGGGGTCCAACATATCTGACCACGAGAACACTGCACGCTACGGTTGACGGAGACATGTTCTTATGATATGAGTTAAAGGTATCTAAGGCCACACCAATTTAATTTGTTGGTTCTCGGATTCGCCTCTTCATTTTTTTCTGATTTGCAAAAAAAAAAAGATTCTGGTTCTGAATCAACTCAAAAATGCTCATATTTTGCCCCCAACAGTTGAGGAAATTCCTTTTCTTCCTAGTTGTTACAGTTTTTTCCATCTATCAATGCAGTGGTTTGATTAAAAGTTCAAAATTTATACTTTGAATTTTAACCCAGCCTTTTTTGTTGACTTCATGGCTCATATTGTAGCATTTGAGGCTATAATAGGATGCCTAGACCTGTTTTTATTTTTATTTTTTTTCGCCCTGTCGCTTCATATTTTTTCTGAAAAAATCCGAGAACCAACAAATTAAATTGGTGTGGCCTAAGGAAGTCAAAACGTTCAGCACGGTCTCACGATTTTAATAAGGGACATAATAGTCATAAGTCTCGCTCTGGTGTATTATTCATCAAAACACAGAAGTACACAAAACATTCATTCACAATATACACAAAAAGACATAATGTCATCGCCAAACTATTCACGACATAAAAAAATCGACAACAACAGTAACATAATCACACTGTTCTAGTAGGTTGGTTGAGACGGAGCCATGAAAGTTAGGCCGGGAGACCCACAGTGAAATAATCGTGAACAACCGTTGGTCCTTTGCGACACTAGGGCAACTTAATAATTCCTCTTACAATCGGTCTAGAGATTCTCAAGTTGTACAAGTTCATGTTTGAGGGCGTTTACATCTACTCGTGACTAGTTTGAGAACCCCCCGCTTTTCCATTTCCTTCAACAGCCTGTACTCTGTAGTGAAATTATGTATGGAGTCCATAATGGCCGGCTCTATGTAGTCATCTGGGTAGTAATGGTAATGAAGTGTCTCATACGTCACTGCGTAGTTCGATTTATAGGGGTAAAATCCGTACAGGGTGATGTCGTCACATATGTTTGTTGCCATGACGACGGCCGTCAGGCCCGTGGTGACTAAACGCCCAATATGGCGGCTGATGTCGGGAAAGATCTTGCTCATGATTCTGTACGGATGGAAACACAGAACACATGCATGAGGATCAGGGAATGATCACAGAAATGTACGTGTGAGAGGAAAAGTAGACTCAGTATCACTTCATTGAATATTGAATTTGCAATGCACCAAATTAAATCTGATATCATTTAAACGATTATGATATCTAAGTACAGGTTTATGTTGGTTTAAGGGTGTACTATAACAGGTGGTACAGTAAACTAACTATAGATGAATATGAAACTCCTATTCTAGGAGAGTTTACTCACTTTTTCACGTCGTTTAGAGGATAGAAGTACTTCAGTGTCACAGTTATCCAGTTGGATCTGACGGCATTGAAGAAGAAGCGAAAAAGTTCCTCTCTCTTCCCCATAGGAAAGACGAATATCGACCCGTCCAGTCGTTTCAGTCTACTTCTGTAAACGTTCATGGACGTGTTTAACGTCAGACTCTTCTGTACCCTCTCGACGATCTGCTTGTTCATGAATATGAGGCTGGTTTTACTCCCGACATCACGTTCGTACCCTGTGATGGGAGCGAGGCTGAAGCGGATGACGTAATCGTGCGAGTCGATGTCCTCCCCGCAAAGGCTGCCGGACAGGACGCCGCCATTGCCGACTACTGCGCATGTGCGGTGAGGAACGATTTCGTTCCTTCCCTCAAGAAGACATTCTCTGTCGTGATTTGGTCCGCAAAAGACCATCTCCTTCGGTTTCTTGTGACCCCTGAGCTCCATACTTGTAAAGTGATCTGGCCTGAATCGTCTTGCGTAACTTCTGTTAAATAATAATAAGAAAAAAATAGAAAGGTAACATTTGCAAAGCAATTGCATAATGTTAACTTTCGAATATGGTCTGCTCTGTTAATTCTTACTCAAACGCGTTCACATAAATGGTCAGACAGGAGTCTAAATCCCTCCTGCTATAAAATTGCAACATGATGTAATCCAACACTAGTTACTATGGTGACAGACATCTGGTTCAGGTCATTGACCTTATTGGCTTGGAGAAGAAGAAAAAAATAGGAAGCAATTAAAAAAACCTCGGTAAACATAATTAACTTGAGAGCTCATCTTATACTCGTATCAGAAATTGACACTTTCAGACAGAATGCTTGAGGCAGACTCCACTTAAATATGTTAAAATCTTATAGACAACACTTATAACATTACATTTTGCTTAAGGTGTAATACATTCAAGATTTTATCTATAGATAAATGTAAGCGAAGAATTTTCTACCCAACCAGGCATGAATCCAAGCGGTACACAATTGGATAACGGAAAGTGACATATCGATTGTCGGAGAACAATAGGATATTCATTATGATGGCCCCTGTCGATAATTAATCACACTGTTCATGACGCATTAATAATTCATAGCAGGAAATTGTGCTTTTTGTTGCATATTTTGGCCTTTGTAACAGTTATGTAACGTATTAGATCCATTTATCACAATTATAGCGGACCATGTTTAGAAAGAATATAGGTCAAATGGACGATTTGGAGTCATTGTGAAGGAATGTAAACTAGCTACTACTAGCTAACCCTCAATTAGTATATATGTGTAGGAAAGAAATACAGATTTTGAAGGGATGAAAAGGACGAAAATTTCCGTATTCTTACAAGATACAGTGTATATAGGCTTCATATAGCCGACTTTGGACTGATACGAAACCACGTCTAGTTGTTTCTCTTTGTAGCTTAGGCTATATACGTGTACTATGTAAGTGGTTATGTTGGGGCTTTGTCTATAAATATCGCAGTATCACAGTGCCAGTTACCTGCAAAATGAAGAAAAACGATATGCTTCTTTGCCAATTGACAAAAACTTTTACCTTATCCTGTCTAAGGTCTGGTCGTCATCCCAGACTTGGGTATCAGCTCCGATAGGATCATGCCAGTAGCTTCTTCTGGTAGACTTCTTGATGATGTGGACTGTATGGTTTGATGAATGTCCTAGTTCGTTTCCGACCCTAGCTGTGGAATCAGCCAGGCCCCTGGTTGTCTTCTTGGCGTAGTTCCACAGAGCTTTAGGTGAATATCTTCTGAAGAAGAGAATTTTGGAAACATATACTGTGGAAATGCAGCCGCAAGACACGTTCAATTGTCTACACTTAGGGGGACCCTGAGGTTAATAAAGATATAACATAAACTAGGCAATAAGAGACAGAGACATATGGGCTGCCATCGCGACTCGAAAACGGAGAAACCAGGACTATACGCCAGTAAGCAAACGTCTAACTAAACGGGATTGAGCTTAAGTTGAATAAACATTTTTGTGTGCTTACCATCAGACAAATACATTGATAGGCATTGTTAAGAAAGCCAGGCAAAACTGTGGAATGTATACATTACTTTACATAATCTATTCTTCAATTGTCCCAGAATGCGAATACAAGGTTTTGTGGAGAATTTGTTAGACATGGTTTTGTTAGCAAATACATGCATGGTATGCAGCAAAGTTACTCTTAGCCCTTCTCGTTGTGCCCTGATGTGATTTTCAGAAAGTTCTTACCTCAGATCCGTTCTGTTGACAATCAGGATGAACGGAGTCGAAGTGAAGAGAAGAACAAGAAAACAAACGAACTTCATTTGGTGCATACAACCCATCGCTACAAGATATCTTCTCGAGCAAACCGTGTGTCTTACGAAAAGTGTTTCCAAACCCCTTCCGTCGGTAACTGGTTCAACAAAAAGGTGTACAGCTTGGATTCTATTGTACAGAGAACGGCATGCCCTCGCAACAGTCTATACCCATGTCATGCCCTGGTAACCGTGTTATGATGTATCGACTTTTAATTACGATCCGACACGGTATGATTTAGCCATTCTGTTGTTGCACGAGATGTTATCAGATGTGTTACTCGTTATCGTGACAGCCCAACAATTGGAGACATCAAACGGTTCGTCTGACCATCGATCGCATGACCTCACGTCACCTTTTTAATTTAAAACGGCGCCCTGAACTACGGATTCACCTCGTTATTTAAACTTGGGTAGACTGTCTATGAGTTATTCAATCAGGCATGGTGTCAATATAGTGCTGTAAGTGCCGTAATTGTTTATGAGACTCATAAAAAAGGCAAGGTAAAAGCAGACGTCATCCTTGGCTGAGGTGAAGCATGCTTTATCCGCCATCTTGTGTTCGGTCGCACACGTGCTCTTAGTTACCAAGGTGAAGTGAAAAAGAATTTCAAACTTATCGAGCATATGAATTCCTCCTCCATGTAACATGCTTTAGCTGATATGTCAAACAGCAGTCAAACTGTATGTGACAGCCAGAGGTATTGTATACTGACAAGAACTACAATTCATCACACTCGGTAAAAATCACCTGGCTAGCTATAGGCTAGCCTCTACCCGGCACCGCGGTTCGCTGGCTGGAAAAATAGTAGAAATTGGCCGAAATAAAGGGATAGTATACCAGAGAAGATCCCGGGTCACTGGTATACTATCCCTTTATTTTGGCCAATTTCTACTCTTTTTCCAGCTATCCGCAGTGCCTGGTAGAGGCTAGCTATAGGCAAGACATAGACAAAGCAAAGTTGAATGGCCTGGCTTTATCAGACAAGGCGTCTATGGCAAGTTTTGGCAAGTATTAATGGTTTGACATAGGCTCATGCATTACCTTTCACTCAAAGGTTTTGACACTCTGAACCGACATGCAGAAAGCAATAAAGAACGGACATCACTGAAGGAAGGAAACCAATAACTGACGGATAAAAATGGGTATGTGGCTTCACGTATGGTCCAATCTCCTGCTCCGGTCAGCACCTCTTGTATCCCTTATAAGTCTGATTATTCGACCGTTGGGAACCACAGGTGATCTGACAACCAGTTTTCTTCACACTTCTCTGTTTTCTTGACGTTTCACGTAATGTCTGGCTGGTTCATTCTCTGATGTTATCCTCCCATCTTTTCCGCTGCCTACCCCTCTTTTATCTTCCCTGTATTTTTCCTCGCATGGTGGTCTTGGCAATCTAAAATGCCAAAGTAAATTAGTTACAACTGTTTCTAGTGGTCTGGTAAAAGCGTTGCTGAGGTAGAAAAAAAAATCAATATGAAGAACCCTTCTGTCTATTGCACACCATTCGAGCTCATTTCAGCTGGAACAACAAATACTTAATACTAACTCCCATTTTTTTCGTTGCCTACCCATCTTTCGAAATTTCCTCCTCCCTGTACTGTTTCTTGTACGGCCTTGGCAATTTGATGTGCCAAAGCAAATTAGTTACAACTGTTTCTAGTGGTCTGGTAAAAGCCTCGCTGAAGCAGAAAAAAATCAATATAAAGACCCTTCTGTCTATTGCACACCCTTCGAGCTATTTTTCAACTGGAATAACAAATACTTAATACTAGTACTAACTCCCATCTTTTCCGTTGCCTACCCCTCTTTCCTCCTCCCTGTACTGTTTCTTGTACGGCCTTGGCAATCTCATGTGCCAAAGTAAATTAGTTACAACTGTTTCTAGTGGTCTGAAGCAGAAAAAATCAATATGAAGAACCCTTCTGTCTACTGCACACACTTCGAGCTCATTTCAGCTGGAACTACAACTACTTAATACGGTAATACTAATGAGGTCGAGGAGAAGGAAGGTCTCCTTAAGGAGATTACATATTAACCTCTGCAGGCTCCTTGAGGGAGGGAAGTCTGTCAGAAGTGGTAAAGATGAGGGAAGTCGGCGTTCTTTGAATGATAACAAATGCGAGCTGTGTAGGATTTTGGAAATGAAGTAAAATATAGGTACAAGGTCGTCTGCAATGTTACATGCATCTACATGTATGTAGTAACCCTTGGTCTGGGAGAGGCCGAGCAGGGTTTTCTATCATACCGTTTTTTCATTTGGGAGTATAAAACTGCACAATGCAGGCTATGCAAAAAAAACCCCGCTTCTTTCAATTCACGTTTGCTAAAAGTCATCGTCGAGATTAGTTATGTTTACCAGAGGAAAACATTGTTTTTGCTACGTTTCCTCTTCTTCTTCCGTTCCAAACACTGACCTCTGACCACTGACCTGGCCAATGACCTGATTTGTTGACGTCTCTCACCATGGTAACTGGTGTTGGGTTACATAATGTTGCAATTTTATAGTAGGAGGGATTTATACTCCTGTCTGACCATATATGTGAATGTATTTGAGTAAGAATTAACAGAGCAGACCATATGCGAAGGTAAACATTATGCATTTCCTTTGCGAATGTTACCTTTCTAGTTAATGTTGGCGCAGGTACCAACATCGAATAATATAAAGTATACGAAAGGTATTTGGCAATCTCAGTTCTCAAGCCGCCCCTCCCCATTCACGAGAAAACTGCTGTTATATTGAGAGAGGTTCATCCATCCATGGTCATGAAAAAAGTCACGAAACGTTCATTGCGTCACAGTTCTCGCGAGAGTTGGCCTAAGCTCTTCACCAGGAATAACAAAACGTTTCCTCTGAGGCGCCAGGTTTTCTTCTCTTCTACCAGGTTGGTTTGTAAGAAATTCAGTGTACTCATTATTTTTGGGGTATTTCTTTTTCAACTATGAGACGAACAGTGAGAAATCTTCAACACTTACATTCACGTTGTATCCATTACAATAATCGAATATCAAAACACAGTATGTGAAAACCAGTACTAACGTTGTCACAAGTTTCTGTTGCTGAGATATAGTCAATACACTTCTACCAACTGGTATCTGACATGAGAAGTATCTACAATGAAAGCTAGCTATAGAACGATATTAGAAAATACGTGTAAAAGCTCGTTTGTTGGTGGCTGTCGTATGCTACAAATGCCCCAGTCAGTTGGCTTTGAACTTTGGACGGGCAAACAAGACATGTTTACATAGCGCGGGTAACAGGTGTTGTAAACAAACTTGTTTTGCACCCCCTTAATATAAAGCCTGCATTTTATTATGCAAGGTTATCGTTTTTCGCAATTCCTTATATTTTGCAAGAAGTACATCGGCATTGTAACGAATTATCTTTAAGAAAGAATTAAAGTTTAGAGTTAAGCACTGGCCACAGAGTGTTGAGATTTAATACAAGGAGAGGATAAAGTCACGTACGTCTACACTGCGTATTTGTGCCGCTAGGGTAATAAGCGCATGCGATTTCATGCATATTTACAGAATTCATAATCACGTTTGATCTCTTGTTACAAAAGTTTATCACGTCCTGTTTTTTGAGCACTGTTGTTCCCGTAAAACGGTTGTCTAGTCATTCAGAAACCATTAATTCTCTACCACCACTATTCTCAGGAAACAATATTTCACGATCGCAGACACGGTGAATTATTAACACGGTTGCCACTTCCTTGTGGGTTGTAGTAAATCATTGTATGCAATATACAAACATAAAATGAACTCTGGGTAGTGTTGTTGTGTATTTACAGATCCGGTCCCCGTAAGTTTCCGTAAATACTGATCAAAAATGGCAGAAGACGAGAAATACGTCTGCACCCTGAGCTCGGCTTTGAAGAAACTCGCGGAAGACGAGCTGAACGAGACGGACTCCAACCGCGACCGGGACATCCAAGCCCTTCGGGAGAAGGTGCGGGGGCTGCCGGGACTCAACTCCCGCACGGACGGAGGCTTTCTGGTGCGGTTCCTCCGCACACGGAAGTATAACGTGGAGAGGGCTTTCCAGGTAAGGTTCATCCGTATATATTATAGGTAACGTTACATTCATGTGTAGGATATAGAAAGGATAGAAAAGTTAGCTTCCCGGCTGATACCTTTCGCGCTATTCCTGTGTCTTCCTCCAATGAAAGCCTATCTCATATCTTATACACACGTTCGTTTGTTTCAGCTTGTCCAGTCCTATTACAAGGCAAGAGTCGACGCTCCTGAGTTCTATGACAACTTCACCCCGTCCTCAGTACGTCATGTGCTGGACTCCGGGATTGTAGCTGTACTGAGAGACAGGGACAAGGAGGGCAGGAGGATTGTTGTCTTCAGAATCGGTAACTTCCTACAGTATCATCTAATCATCTTCTTTGTAAACATTGTAAACATTGTTTTCGTTAAAAGTTCCGAGTGTTTTCTCATACACCCCTCCCCATCCGATTTCTACATCCGGGTCCCAGCAGTTGCACCTTGGGATACCCCTAATTTGCATGTGCGATGGCGACTCCGAGTGAGGCACTGTGGGACCTCGGCACTTCATGCTTAGGATGTTCCTATCAGTGTAATGTCCTTGTCCTATCAAAGAACGAAGCGCATATTAACGAAGTGGGAACAGTAACGTAGGCTAAGGCTAATGTGCCTACTGCCTCCACGGAATAACACACACTGCAACTTGTCCATTAAACTCGTCCATCAAATCTAAGGTAATGTTACAATCCCCAACATTCCTAACAGTGCATATCTTTACTCCATCACACGTTGACAGACAAATGGAACCCTGTCGTCATCACGTTGGCTGAAATCTTCAAAACGGGTTTCTTGCTGATGGAAAAAATAATAGAGGTACGTGTGCATTGCGGCAGTCACATATGTCAAAAAATTGTCAGTCGTATGATTAATATTTCAAGCAAGGCTGTGACTAAACTGTCCGTTCACACGGTCACGGATCTATATGTATGACAGCCTTTTCATCTCAATCTTTATATATATCTCAACTGAATTTTGCACGACACATTCAACACTGTCTAGAAAATTATCTCTACATATAGATCTGATGTAGTGAACTAAGCACCCCTCCCGTTAACGTTATATATGTTACAACGACTGTGACAGGGAATTTAAATGAGATCATGTCGTTTCATTGTCCCTCTCCATCAACCATTTCATACAACGACGCTCAGGATTTTAGTTACATAAATGTTAAACGCTTTAAATCACACAATTTAGCCTAAATGTCTGCGAAATGATGGCACATTGTATTTTATGTCCTACCTGGGCCGCGATTACGTTCGATACGGGTGTTCCGGCCCGTGTGATAACTAGCGGTACGGCCCGGGGGTTCTTAACGCGTACAGCCCGGCCCTTCCAAATGTTCCACAGAACGATTCGAACGCGTTTCGCCCTAACCGCGTGCAACGCTTTCGAAAATTCGAATGCAAAATTAGGACGTTGGAAATGATGTTGTTGCGTTTTTTGGGATTAGGGACACGAAATCTTTGCTCATTTCGCATTGAAAGGCGTGTTTTCTTGGGTTGGTATGACATAAATAAAATACAACACGGTGTATTCATGGGCGATAGGCCACCGAGTTTTTGTTGAGATCGCTGTTGCTTTGTTTTATGAACACTCGTATACTGTGCACTCCGTACAAGCTTAAGATTCCCGATAATCATACACTGAACACAAACACTATGAACACGGTCCGTTGAAAGGATCCGAAGAGTCATGAACTCAACACATAACACCGTGAACACTGTCCGTCGAAAGATTCCCGAGAATCATACACTCATCGCATAACACCGTGAACACGGTCCGTTGAAAAATTTCCCTAGAATTCTCTGTACAATGAACCATACATATATAATACATACTGCTGGGTACTTGGTCCGCTGAATCATACAATAAAAAGCACACTCATTACTCAGCTGTTACATTGGCGTTCAGGGTAGCGCAAAGACCGACGGGAATAGAACAGGTTTCGCAAACTCGAATGCGTTCGCAAAACCGCTGCTCGACTCGATAGAACCCCAAGCCGGGGCTAGCGCTAGCGGTGATAACTTCAAAAAGATGACAGGGTAGGAAATACCTACCCGTGAACTGCGTTACCAACTGGGGTGGCAGCAAAAATGTGACTTAGAATCACGTTCGGTGTGAAGTCCCTGCCTCCCCAGACTCAGAAAACAACGATATAGTACATTTTAGAGATATTGGGCACAACTACACTTTCCAAATCTCATGCCTGGGAAACATATGTAGAACTGAAAGCATGTCGGTGGGGTTTGTGGACGTGTTTAGAGTACATTTACACATAGCATGTCAAGACTCTTGTCGGGTGATGTAGCCAGTTGTGTGCGTTTACATTTTAGAACCGCGCGGGAAATGTGGGCCTATCGTGCGTCTGATTGGCTAGCGATGATGTCATTGACCTGTACAGCAGCGACCTGGTAACGCAGTTCGCCGGAAATTGGACTTTACAAAATGCTTCATATCTTCTTTAAAATATGGTATCATACCCCCAAAAAGTTTACATGGCTACTTAGTTACCCCTTGATTATAGATAGTATCAAGACTTTTATTTTCCTTATGGCATTTCGCAGAAAATAGGGTCTTTTGAAATGGCATTTCGCACCTAGTGTATACTAGTACTAAGTACCTAACCAAGATGAAGCGTTCGGAAGTCGCTGTTCGGCTCTCGGCAATCTTCGGGAGACTTCGGTATCTGTTCGTATGGTTCTTTGGAATCCTCATCAGTTTGTGACCGTGTTCAGTGTACGCATGATTCTCGGGAATCTTTCAACGGGCCGTGTTCACGGTGTTATGTGTTATGTGACTGTATGATTTTTGGGAATATTTCAACGGACCACTGTATTGTGATGGCAACGGGCTGAATGAGTAGACACAGTGTATGTTCTAACATGCGCGAAACAATAATAAGGATTTTATTTAATGGTTTACAAAACAATGTAACGTTACATGTATTGTTAGATCTCAACAAAAACTCGGTGGCCTAGCGCCTGTGGTGTATTCCGCATCACCCTCGGTCCCAGCCCCCCCTTCGGCCGTCGGGCGATCCGACGCGCGGTCGGGCTGGTACCTCGGGCAATACGGAATACCCCGTGTTGTATTCTATATGTATTGTTGTGCTTTTACAGCACTGTGTTTGAATCGCGTGTTTGAATAAACCAATGATACAATGTACATCCCTCTGTAGGAGGAGGAGACGCAGGTTGCCGGAGTGGTGTTTATTGAGGACCTGGCGGGGATGAACGCGAATCACGTGTACTATGCCTCCAGTCCTACCCTCATGTACAAGGGATACGGAGCCTTTCAGGTAGGGAAACGTTAAACTAAATTCACATTATCGTTAGTTAGCGATACAGTGATTTTACTTTGTGTAAATAGGTTTAAATTTCAGGTTTTGGAAATGCTTGAGCAATGAGCCCATTCAGTTGGTTTTCAAGAATATACACTGGGCAAGAAGTCTCTCCTTGTTACGGACAGAATTTATGAATCTACTATCCCGACACATTTATCGATATCATTGTAGTAGGGGAATCTACAATGGATGTTGGTATGTTTATGTTTACAGAACGCCTTCCCGTGTCGGATTAAGGGCGGACATTACTTGAACGAGTCTCCGCTGTTTGACGGAATCTTCGCCATCATCAAACCGATCTTGTCTGAGAAGATAAAGTCCAGGGTAGGTAATTTCACTTTTCGATTCACAATCTGCACGTTACCTGTTCTTGGCAGTTCTACCCGGAAGGCGAAGTGTAGAATCAATACCCTCTAATGCTTCGGTCCCAGTTGAAAAAAGGGGCCCTGCCGGGTAGTCCCCGGGCTGTTTTTTGGCACTTTCGCACGTCAGAGAATCTGCCGGGTGCCTGCCGGAGACCGACCATAGAGGGTGACAAAATTTTCAACAAAATGCTACTGAAGGAAACTTTAAATTGTGACCACGACAGCCGATGCGCTTCCGACTCCTGAGCCCGACCGGGACCGGCCGGGGCTACATCCCCGACGGGCACCGGCGCAATTGGGACCGAAGCTTAAGTAGGACATTACAAGTCGTGCGGGCTTATCATGTTTACCTTGGCCGAAGGAAAACATATTGTTTTTTCTCTGTTCCTTCTTATCTTCCTCTTCTTCTCCAAACAATAAGCCCAATGACCTGAACCGGACGTCTGTCACCATGGTAACTAGTGTTGGGTTACATCATGTTTTATAGCAGGAGGGATTCAGACTCCTGTCACCATGTATATGAATGTGTTTGAGTAAGAATTTTAGAAAAGTAAGTAATTTCAGAAGTGAGTAGGAATTAACACAGCAGATCATATGCAAAGGTAAACATTATGCATTTGCTTTGCAAATGTTAACTTTCTAGTTTTCAATTAGTTGATCTACGGTTTAGCAAATTAAACAACTAGTTGACAACAAAATGCCTCTGCCCCTAAGGCGTCGCCAAAAACAGCCACCTGTTATCTCCGACTATCCAGAGATTTCTAGCTGTTCAGTTCAGCGAAGCAAAGAATTATTACCCGATAAGTAGGTCATCACTAGGATTTATGACTCCTAGACGCTGATAATACCCCTGGATTCTTGTGGGGCCTAATTTGCGACTCGTGGTCATATATCTTTATTATATTACTGGCCTGTGAAGTGGTCCATACATCCGTGATGTTAAATCATAGGGAAATAATAGATATTATGGCATGATGTTACACATACCGTTAACACTTTAGTACATGTACATGTATATGAAGCAACGTTTAGTTTCTCCTAGACTTGTGCGAAAATGGTGATGCCAGGATAAATAAATTCTATTGTACGTCGGGCAGCATTTTAGATTTATATGTTTTTCCCACGTTTTGTTCGTGCTCGATTCCTCATCACACGCATGGCATAGAAACTGCAGGATTTGATTGACAAGAAATAGTCTTAGAGGTGAGAACAGTACTAGAAAAACTAAGCTGTCTAGCCTGGGTAACAGACATATTTTGATTAGCCCCCAAGTCTTTATCCTCTCCACAAATCGGGAACTGAAATATGTCTGGTAACCAGGCTATGTATCTCTCCCCATGAGTCCACATGTTGACTGTGTCTGTTGTTTGTGTCACGTTTTGTTCGTACTCGACCCACATCAGACCCAGACATTGCAGGATTTGATTGAAAAGAAATAGTCCATAACAAACAAAACAGTACTGGGAAGACTAGACTCTCCCCATGTGTCTACATGTTGAGTGTGTCTGTTGTTGTAATTTTGCCACGTTTTGTTCGTACTCGATCCCACATCAGACGCATGGCACAGTTAGAACAGTACTGGGAAGACTAAGATCTACCCATGAGTCCACATGTTGACTGTGTCTGTTGTTTGTGCCACGTTTTGTTCGTACTCGATCCCACATCAGACCCATGGCACAGTTAGAACTGTACTGGGAAGACTAGGTTCTAGCTAATCTCCAAGCAGATCCCTCTCGGTGGCAAAAAGACGTATCAAAGTATCAAATTGGCCAGGCAGTATCCATTAGCCAGAAAAGCTCCGCGACCACCGACGGGGTGGGGATCAGGACCAAAAAAAAAAACGGCCATATATAAAAAGGTAACGATCATTCCCCCACAACCTCTGCTTGGAGAGTAGGTTCTAGCCATGAGTCCACATGTTGTCGACTGTATCTGTTGTTTGCATCAGATCCGCATGCACGGTAAGGTGTACGACACGCTGCACGAGTGTGTGGGGAAACACGCCCTGCCGCCCGAGTACGGAGGGGACGGGCCTGCCTACGACGACTCAGTCAAACACTGGACTGACATACTCATGGCTTCTGAACAGGTACGGAACAATCTTCATATCATCATACATATGTACCTGGCTCACATTCTTTGATACTAATGCTGAGGTCACATTTCCAAACCGGGGCCCGACCGGGCAGTCTTATTGAACGAAAAGTAGGATATAAAAGACAACAAAGCACAAAAAGTTGAAACAATTAATAATGGGAACTATTTGCTTATATTCTTGGTATAAATTGTTGATTTTTCGTTAATCGAAACAGCCCGGCTGGACCCCGGTTTGGAAATGTAGCCTCAACATAAAGCTTTAATGCTTTTTCGCGTTGACCCTCCACCATTTGTCTGGTTTGGTCGCCTCGCTTATCTACAATGACAATGACTATATTTGATACATTTATGCCATGATTTTCGAACATGTGCAGGACTTCGTCAAGTACAACAAGAAGGGGTTTGTTACCCACGGAAGCCTGGGGACGAGCGCTACTGGGGACGAGACCATGTCGGGAATGGCGGGAAGTTTCAAAAAGCTGAACGTGGATTAAATTTGTGCGAGAATGGCGTTTTAACTTTCTTGTGACTTAAACCAAAAAGAAAATGAAATCTGAACACCACGTACTCGTATTCTACGTCTATTGACATTATTATGAGTTTGAATCTTTCCCAGTCTGGGCACAATACGAGTGGGTTATTAAGTGCACTTTGCTGACATGCTGCAAGAGGGCGTAGCTGTACACTCTCCGGATACATCTGTGTAATTCCATGTCATCAGATGTCATGTCACGTTGAAGCTCATCAAGTTTGGTACCAAATAAAACATATCACGAGGAAATATATACATAATAGATGGTATTGTACATTTGTGAAATGATGAGCAATAAATAAAGTTGAATAGATCATTGCCTTTATTGTCTTAAGCTTGTTCGTAAGTTCAAGTGACATACATAACTTCCTTGGTCATGCAGAGTGTAATTCGTCTAGACACTTTCTTCATGGGACTTGAAACTTGAAATTTATAATTACTTGAACTAAGAAATTTTTGTTTGTACCATAACATAAACCTTTTTCCATACGAGCTAGATCTCGTCAATCTATATGTTACAAACAAGATGGTGGAACAAAAACCTTGAGGGATGGCAACGCAAAGAAAACGTAAATTGTGTCATATTGTGAGTTACTAGTATCGCATTCTTTTCTATCTGAAGATCTAGAAGCAGTTGGGTTGCTCTGTCTTAAGCTGAAAGCTTTATCTTCTCGTTACTGCTTAACATACCTTATAATAGTAGAAATGTTCACGCATCAAATACTTTGTTTGCCATGTACCTCACTCCCCCCATCCAAAAAAGATCGTTTACGTTTCTTTTCAAAGCCAACTTGACTTTCATCTGTGTTTCTACGTCCCTATTCCGTCTTGCACGCCCTGTTCATGATATGTAGAACACCACGTCTCTGTAGTTCCTGGTAGAACGCGAACTCTTGGTCGAAGTCGTGTTGTTCCCCCTTCTTGTGCGGTTCCTCTCTCCCATACCTGGGCAGAAACTATGTTAGTTATGACAGAGCAGCAGAGCAACTATCACTTACACCCTTGTACCTGAGACGTAGCCTCTACCAGGCTTGGGGAGGCGGCTGGAAAGAGTAGAAATCGGCCAAAAGCATGCCAAGGGAGTTTGTCCGTTGAGAGAACATTTCGCCGCACCCCAAAGAAATGGTGACTCCGCACAGGCTTGGAGTGCGGCGAAATGTTCTCTCAACGGACAAACTCCCTTGGCATGCTTATCTCTCTATTTGGCCGATTTCTGCTCTTTTCAGCCGCCTCCCCAAGCCTGGTAGAGGCTACCTGAGACGCCTTAATCTCTGTGTGAACATTGCAATGTCAAGTCAAGGCCTTTATTTTAATTCGAAATGCTTGTTCGGCCTACATGGCCGCTTTTCAACAAGGTCGACGTGGAGGGGTAGAGGTCACGGACAAGAGTTTTACATGTACTGTGTCTAGTACGCATCAATATGGCCATAGATAATAAGTAAAAGCAAATAAAGCTATATCTATAGCTAAATCCCCCCAGGTTGGCTACCTTCTAAGCGTGGAAGCCTACATGGCAGAGATCTTAGATCAAAGGACAACGTTCTAACTTCACGCAGTTTAGCTGCAGGACGTCTAGGTTTAAGAATAGTGTTTTACCTTTATTGACGAGTTGCTGAACCATTCATGATAAACACCGGTACATTGATATGTATATGAAGCCATGTAAGGCTGCAATTGTATGTGTGTTATAATGTGTACGTAGCACAGCAATGTAACACTCGTTCCATGTATCATTGTACCTCAGTTATCTAACTTAGTGCATCTGGCCCATGGTGGGCGTGGATATGCAATAATAAAGTTCGTTGTCATAAAAATAATAAACAAGAGTTCCACGACCTCATACCTTTGCCAAATGATGTTAACACTTCCGATTGACTAATTATACAATTTTAATCATTGATTTCGTAAAGAAGAGCGTCAGTTGCATGGATTACATCAGTTGATCATATTCTCCAAAATCTAATAATTTCTAGGTCTCATCAAGACCTACCCACATACCAAGTTTCATGACAATTCATATCAAGCTTCTTGAGTTATGCTGTTCACAGACAACCAAACAAACAGACAAACAAACAAACAAACAAACAAACGGAGCGACGGACAAACGCAACTGAAAACATAATCTTCTTGGCGAAGGTAATAAAACAGTTCATTACCAACCTGGGCTCGAAGTGCGGGATGGTGTAGTAGTGGTAGGGCACGGTCCGGTTGTTGGCGTCCGTGTCGAAAGGCCAGAAGCCGTACAGGTTGATCCGCCGGCAGAAGTGTGTGGACATCAGGATCGTCATGAGGCCGATTGTAGGCTCGCCTCTCAGTGGACTGTTCACGTGCTCGGAAACCGTATCCAACATACTGTTAGAAACATAAGAATTGAACATAGTTCTTAAATTTCACATACTAGTATCTATGTTTAAATCTTATCAAAGTACCATACGCAATCCCACAAAAATGAACGAAATACACAGGACTTTAAATAAAATAAATGACAACAATGTGGATTCTGGTTCTAACAAATTTTCAAAATGAAAATGTAGATGACAACGTTTTCTCTTACCCCAAAAGTCCATTTACGTGCGTGCTTTCTCCAAAATATTTCAGGTTGACGACTACGCGGTTGGTACGGACTGCCTCGTAAAAACGCTTGAAGACTCTAGTGAACCTGCCCTTGGGAGCAAGAAACATAGTACGGTTCGAAAGCCGCAAGGAATGGGCGAAGGGGTTCAACTCGGGGTGTATGTTGACGTTGAACATGATTGCGTTGTTCAGGCTGGTCAGGGTGGTTTTGGAGCCGACGTCTTTCTGGTAACCGTCTATAGGAGCGAGGTTGAAGCGGAGGACAAAATCGTGCGAGTCAATTTCATCGCCGCAAAGGCTGCCGGTTAGGATGCCGCCGCTGCCCAAGATGGCGCAGGTGTTGTAGTGTAGAATCTGGTCATACCCCTGGAGCAGACAGTTGTCCTCACTCTTTGTCCTGCATACGAAGGGCTGCTCACGTACCGTGCCCCTTATTTCTCGCTGATGCAGCCTCCCGGGATCAAGCATCTTAGTCAGTTGCCTGCATTGAATACATTTTTCTTTTACAACCAATGCGGGTGTATGTGTGTAAATGAGAGAGAAAGAAACCGTAATGTGTGAGCCACCTGAGTTTAGTGGGGGTTGGTGTGGTTTCAAATTGATATCAAATATGATCAATATGAAATACCCTGCATTGACTACATTCTCTTTTACAACCAATTCAAGTGTTTGTAAAATAAAGAGACCGTAATGTGTAAGCAAAAGATGAGTGGGGCTTGATGTAGTTTCGAATCGTAGGCAATACAAAAAATATGTCTTTCAAGTCATGACATAGAAAGACATTTTTGATAATGAAAATGTGGAAGAATTACAAGGACTGCTATTTGTCTACGGCCTGACAACTAATTCTTTTACATTTCTTTCACGGCATACCAAGGAGCTTAAAATTTAGATTTTAAGAGCGAATGTCTGTAAGGATCAAACAATGGTGGCACCGTTCAAAAATAGATTTGGCTCATTTTTTGCACAGTGATAGTACTTGGTACATAACCCCTCAGAATAGCTTTCTTTTTGCTCAGAACCCCTTGTTGCCATGGCAACGGGCCAAAGAAGTTTTCATGGCATTTGTCCAGATTTTGGCATGTACAAAACATAGAAATTGGCTAACTTTAGAACACTATAACTGATCAGTGCTTTAGCGTAACGACAAGAGCAAGATGTGCTGATCAGAGCAATACTTAAACTTGTATAAAATAGCAGTAAAGCCAATGTTCAGTAAAATCTGAGGTCTTGGGCACTCTGAATACAATGCACTGTTTTAAGGGTGTAAAAAACTGAAATTTTGCCCAACTTTGAAGCACTGTAAGTCCCAGAAGGGGAGGATGTTTTGTTTCAAATTTGCACTGCATAATAAACCACTCCAGAGGTATCAGATGCATGCTTGCAAAGTTTGGGTTCTTGTTTCGTTGCTACGCACTTGTCCTTTAAAGTAGGTCAGTTTTCGTTATTTTGATGATATGTCATTTTGTGCTATCTTTGAACTAACGTAAGCTCCAAACCAAACTAGTTCTTTACTTGAAATTTACATGAAGTATAAAACAACAAATTGTCTATGAAATGCATGCTTGCAAAGTTTGAATTCTTGTTTTGTTGCTACGCACTTGTCCTTTAAAGTAGGTCAGTTTTCGTTATTTTGATGATATGTCATTTTGTGCTATCTTTGAACTAACATAAGCTCCAAACCAAACTAGTTCTTTACTTGAAATTTACATGAAGTATAAAACAACAAATTGTCTATGAAATGCATGCTTGCAAAGTTTGAATTCTTGTTTCGTTGCTACGCACTTGTCCTTTAAAGTAGGTCAGTTTTCGTTATGTTGATGATATGTCATTTTGTGCTATCTTTGAACTAACATAAGCTCCAAACGAAACTAGTTCTTTACTTGAAATTTACATGAAGTATAAAACAACAAATTGTCTATGAAATGCATGCTTGCAAAGTTTAAATTCTTGTTTTGTTGCTACGCACTTGTCCTTTAAAGTAGGTCAATTTTCGTTATTTTGATGATATGTCATTTTGTGCTATCTTTGAACTAACATAAGCTCCAAACCAAACTAGTTCTTTACTTGAAATTTACATGAAGTATAAAACAACAAATTGTCTATGAAATGCATGCTTGCAAAGTTTGAATTCTTGTTTCGTTGCTACGCACTTGTCCTTTAAAGTAGGTCAGTTTTCGTTATGTTGATGATATGTCATTTTGTGCTATCTTTGAACTAACATAAGCTCCAAACGAAACTAGTTCTTTACTTGAAATTTACATGAAGTATAAAACAACAAATTGTCTATGAAATGCATGCTTGCAAAGTTTAAATTCTTGTTTTGTTGCTACGCACTTGTCCTTTAAAGTAGGTCAATTTTCGTTATTTTGATGATATGTCATTTTGTGCTATCTTTGAACTAACATAAGCTCCAAACCAAACTAGTTCTTTACTTGAAATGTACATGAAGTATAAAACAACAAATTGTCTATGACATGCATGCTTGCAAAGTTTGGGTTCTTGTTTTGCTGCTACGCGCTTGTCCCTGAAAGTGGGACAATTTTCATTAGTTTGATAGTACGTCATTTTGTGCTATCTCTGAACCACCATAAGTTCCAAACCAACATTGGTTTGTACTTGCAATTTACGTGAAATATAGAACAATATATTGTCAATGAAGTGCAAGTTTGAGGTCTTGTTTTGTTGCAGTGAAACTGGCCTTGAAACTGGGTATTTTTTTTTCAATATGTCATTATGTACTATCAATTTAAAAGTATCATAAGTTGCAAACCAATATTGCCTGCATTTGAAATACAAAATTTATGCTATGTTGCCCCTTCCTTAGGGGCAACATAGCATGCCATCCAGTTCCTAGACTATAGTGAATCTCCCCTTGGCTCCGTGGTCAGGGCAAGAAACTTGAGAAGTCCTTATCTCTTTCATCCAGAGTTCATGTTAGCTTGATAAAGATGAGATATAAACCTATGTGACATGTCAAAGAGAGGTGACTTATACGAACTTGGGATTGCATTGCTAAAACTGATTTGTGAACACATTGATGTGGATGTATCTTCCATAATACCCCCGTCACATTGTCGACGAGCTTCGGCCGTATTTGTCAATCGCCGAAAGATCGGCCGATTTTGAGATCGACCGACGATCGCGCGTATTTTTGGCTTGAAAATCGTCGTGGTCACATTGTGCGAGGGTCGGGCGATCGCTTGGGAATACATCTATGATAATGAAGTCCCTATAACATGGCAAGCAGATGAAGCAAGGCCAGTGTATCCACCTAAACATGAATAGTTTGGCCAATTTTTATGTTTGACCTGTCGTAATATTTTTTTGCAAAGTAATGGAGCGGACTGGCAGAATAAATAGAAATATAAACAGGAATTCTGTGAAAGATCCAACTCAAATACTACCACAAGAGCCACAAATTTACACTACCGTCTGGTTAACACAACGACCACCTTTTTAACCAGACAGGAGTCGGCCGAAGCTCGCTCGACACACGGGCGTACGTCGCCCGAGTTACGCTCGACGATCTATCGATGCTCGCACGAT